GTTGGAAAATGGGAGAAAAATGGGAAAAAATTGGGGAAAAATTGGGAAAAAGTTGGGGAAAAATTGGGAAAAAGTGGAAAAAAGTGGGGAAAAGGGAAAAATGGGAAAAAGTGGGAAAAATGGGAAAAAAGGGGAAAAATGGGAAAAAAGGGGAAAAATGGGAAAAATTGGGAAAAAAATTGGGAAAAAAATGGGAAAAGTGGGAAAAAAGCGGGAAAAATGGGGGAAAAGTGGGAAAAAAGGGGAAAAATTGGGAAAAAAATTGGGAAAAGTGAGAAAAAGTGGGGAAAAAAGGGGGAAAATGGGAAAAATTAGGAAAAAAATTGGGAAAAGTGGGAAAAAGGCGGGAAAAATGGGGGGAAAGTGGGAAAAAATTGGGAAAAATTGGGAAAAATTGGGAAAAATTGGGAAAAAGTGGGAAAAAGTGGGAAAAGGTGGGAAAAAAGGGGAAAAATAGGAAAAAAGGGGGAAAAGTGGGAAAAAGGTGGGAAAAATGGGGGAAAAGTGGGAAAAAGGTGGGAAAAATGGGGAAAAAGGGGAAAAATTGGGAAAAAAATTGGGAAAAGTGGGAAAAAGTCGGAAAAAATGGAGAAAAATGGGGGAAAATTGGGAAAAAGTGGGGAAAAGTGGGAAAAAGTGGGAAAAAAGGGGAAAAATTGGGAAAAATTGGGAAAAAAATTGGGAAAAGTGGGAAAAAATGGGGGAAAAATGGGGGAAAAAGGTGGGAAAAAGCCGGAAAAAATCAGGAAAAAGCGGGAAAAAAGCAGGAAAAAGTGGGAAAAAGTGGGAAAAATTGGGAAAAATTGGGGAAAACTTGGGAAAACTTGGGAATGAGCGGCCTCACCGCCAGGAGCTTGCGGCCCTCGTCGTCCAGCGGCGGCAGAACCTTGGCCAGGTCCTGGCGCGCCCAGCGGGGGAAGGTGGCTTTGTAATCCGGCAGCGCCGACACCCCCGGCCAGGCGGCCTCGTCCGGAGTGCCCAGAGTGCGGAAAATGCGGAACAGCTGATCGATCTCGGAGTCACCGGGGAACAGAGCTCGGCGGGTCAGCTGGGGGGACATTGGGGACATCATTGGGACATTGGGGACATCATTGGGGACACAGGAACAGCTGATCGATCTCGGAGTCACCGGGGAACAGAGCACGGCGGGTCAGCTGGGGACATCAATGGGACATTGGGGACATTGGGGACACAGGAACAGCTGATCGATCTCGGAGTCACCCGGGAACAGAGCACGGCGGGTCAGCTGGGGGGACATTGGGGACATTGGGGACATCATTGGGGACATTGGGGACATTGGGGACATCATTGGGACATTGGGGACATCATTGGGGACACAGGAACAGCTGATCGATCTCGGAGTCACCGGGGAACAGAGCACGGCGGGTCAGCTGGGGACATCATTGGGGCATCATTGGGGACATCATTGGGGACACAGGAACAGCTGATCGATCTCGGAGTCACCGGGGAACAGAGCACGGCGGGTCAGCTGGGGGGACATTGGGGACATTGGGGACATCATTGGGACATTGGGGACATCATTGGGGACATCATTGGGGACACAGGAACAGCTGATCGATCTCGGAGTCACCCGGGAACAGAGCTCGGCGGGTCAGCTGGGGGGACATTGGGGACATTGGGGACACAGGAACAGCTGATCGATCTCGGAGTCACCGGGGAACAGAGCACGGCGGGTCAGCTGGGGGGACATTGGGGACATCAATGGGACATTGGGGACATTGGGGACATCAATGGGACATTGGGGACATTGGGGACATCATTGGGGACATTGGGGACATCACTGGGGACATGGGGACATCAATGGGACATTGGGGACATCAATGGGAACATGGGGACATCAATGGGACATTGGGGACATCAATGGGGACATTGGGGACATCATTGGGGACACTGGGGACATCATTGGGACATGGGGACATCACTGGGGACATGGGGACATCAATGGGACATGGGGACATCACCGGCACACGGGGACAGAGGGACACAGGGACATCCCAAGGACACTGGGGACACCCCAGAAGGATCTGGGGACACTGGGGACATTCCAGAGGGGTCTGGGGACATCCCAGGGGGGGTTGGTGACATTTGGGGACACCCCAGGGACATTGGGGACACCCCCAGTGGGGTTTGGGGACATTGAGGACACCCCAGGGGACACCCCAGAGGGATTTGGGGACACCCCAGGGGGGTTTGGGGACATTGGGGACACCCCAGAGGACATTGGGGACACCCCCAGGGGGGTTTGGGGACATTGGGGACACCCCAGGGACATTGGGGACACCCCCAGTGGGGTTTGGGGACATTG